GCTCAACCACAATCAACGTGGGCAGCCTTGTGCGTAAGAGGCGCAGTAAAAGGGGAGCTGCAAGAACAATGAAAGGGGTACCCCAAGAACAACCAAAAAAACATCTTATTATAAAATTGCTTTCATATGTTGGACATCTCAAACGCTCTCGTTGTCTGCAATAGGATAAAGACTGCTTTGATTCTGAATCTATTCACCTGGGTGGAATTGGGGCTGTTGTGGGGAAAATCTAAAACACACACACACACGCACACACACACACACGCACACACACACACACGCGCACACACACACACACAGAGCAGGGGGGGGTTCATTCAATTCTGTGGATTGTCGGTAGGTGGAGGTTCATTGTAGTCTCGACGCTGTCCGTCAGGTTCCTCCAGTTGTATTAACTGTATTGGCTCTAGCGTATGATCCGGAGAGAGATCCTCTTTAGTCGGGGGCTCCATCAAATGATCAGAGGGAAAGTCATTGTCAATTGGGGTAGGGGAGCATGCCGGGCTAGCTGGGGGAGAAACGGGCAGGTGAGAAATAGGTGGGTCAGATGCAGGTAACAGAAACTGATCAGCCGCACTTGGGCTTAAAGTGGCTGCTGCACAGGCGGCTGCCCCCCGTGTCTGGTGCACACGCAGGCTCGCAGTGCTGAAGAAATCTCCCCTTGTGTACTCCCTCTCCTTGTGCACTATTCATAAACGCATACGAATGAGCGTCACTAAGAGAACAGGCAAAATGCAAGTCACCCCTTTTACTGTGCCTCCTTTCATAATGTGCAAGTGGGCTGTTAAGGCACATGGGGATGTGGGCAGCTGGCGCTTAACCATCATCAACGTGGCCAGCCTTGTACGTGAGAGGCACCGTAAGAGGGGTGTGTAAGAACAAATAAACTGGGAGGCCTCCCAACAATAAAATTGATGAATATATTCAAGAAAATTACATAATTGATCTATTGTCTATCATATTGATAACTGTCTCATTGTTGGGTAACCCCCTCTCAAGTATGCTGCATTGCTTGCATAAAGGTCAGGTTCCTATGATGTTGGATCTACTCATGAAGGCATTGCTGGCATAAAGGTAACGTTTCTTGCTTACTATGGAAGCAACACTGTTTCCATACTGGATTGATTCATCTCAAGCATGCTTCATCTTCAACAATAGAGGTAAAGTTGCTGCAATTTTGGATCTACTTATCTGGGTGGAACAGGGGATGTTGTGGTGAACGTTTACAACACACACAGACACAGACACACACAGACACACACAGACACACACACACACACACACACACACACACACACAATATCACACATTCGCGCTTGCCATACCCGCACCTTTGATCGACGGGCGCCAACCAACCCACCCGAAACTTCAGCGGGCTGCACGCACCCTCGATTGAAGGCCGCAAACCAACCCACCCGAAACTTTGGCGGGCTAGTTTCCAAGTGCCATTCACACCCGCCCGCCCACCCCTCCAGGAAAAAAACCGCCACCGCCAAACTCGTCCCTCACACTACGAAACAAAAAAAACAACAACGAAAAACAGCACTTCAACCGCAGCCCGCCGGACTCGAATGTCGCACTACGAAATGAAAAAAAAAAAAAAAGGCGGCCGTAAACAAAAAAAACGCGCCGGCACGGTGCGCCGGGCCCGCGCGGGAAAAAGGTCTCAGCGGGACGCGTCATGCAAGACCCGCTCTTGCCTTTAAGAGTATAGAGAAGAAAAAAGTTAACGCTTGCCCGCTTGGTGTTTCTTTTTTTGGCAAAGTGAAAATACATTTGAGGAATTCTGGGTGGTGGGATGACTCTCTGTGTATTCTCTTTTTTTTTGCAGTCTTTTGCGGACGAGTTTGGCGTCTTCCCCATTGATTGGCGTGACCTGGCCATTCCGCGACGGGGAGGGTTCATCCTGGAGAGCTTCAACTCTGATGAGGTGAGATGTCCTTTTTTTCTCTTTACTTTTCTTTGGAAAAGAGAAGCCATCTGTTTGACAAATGAAAGAAAGAAAAGTGTCTGTTCGCAAGGTTGCTATTCAGGGGGTAGTGGAGGTGAGATGTACTTAAATCTGCTAGACTGGTCAATTTAGAATTCCTGTGAAGGATTGTGTCTAGGCAAAGAGGTCAGTAGAGGCACCGTGAGCTGAATAGAGAGTGAGCATCATACCGAGAGGAGTATGAACTCGACCAGTATTAACGCCACATTCATGCTTTCCATGCATGATCGTAGCCCTTGATGGGGCTGTCCCTTACTGTTGAAGGAATGTCTGCAGTTTGCTATGTTGATCCCAAACTCCTGAATTATAATGCGTCAACCCTTGACTGATGTTTGCTACAAGCCACAGGTGTTAGGTTTATGCTAGAGAAGTATGAACCTGGCCAATAATACAGCTATGTTCATGAACATAGCACCAGTCAGGCTGTCCCTTATGCGAGGCACCAGGCCTCGATACGCCCTACTGGGCCCTATCTTCAGCATAGTCGGCCGCCCTAAGTGAAGGCAGGCTCGACCGAGGCCTACAGGCCAATTTTGGGGTCACCAGACTCACCACGCAACTGGGGAAAATTCAGGCAGTTGCGCAGCGGCAGTTGGTTCCCAGGCCGGCAGTTCAGAATCTGTAGGATCAACGGTTGCACAGACCCTGAGTCAGTCAACTGGCATAATGGCAAGCCAGCCGTTAGTGACGACTCCCGAAGAGGTCGCCATACAGCGAGCTGCTGATCGCGAGGCACAGCTACAGCGGGCTTTGGGTGAGATTAAGGCAGAGAAAGAGAGAATGATTAGAAGAAGAGCCAGGATGCAGCGGAGACAAGCGGACATTAGTGAGTTAGAGGAGATGGACCCTGCAGAGTTGGATGATGATGTGAGGACCCTAAGGGCGGTCTTGCTAGGTGTGGTGGAGATGCAAGATCACCAGACGGCGATCTTACAGGACATCCAGCAGAGTCTGGCCGTGTTGGTCAGGCGAGCGCAGGCGGCACCATCGCCGTCCGGGCCCGGTGTCTGGCCCGTTGTACATCCTCCTCCTTTTGTCCCACCGGTGACTGGGGT